GTGGGTGTAGGTGTGTGGGTGCGGGTGGGTGTGGGTGTGGGTGTGGGGTGTGGGTGGGTGTGGGTGTGGGTGTGGGTGTAGGTGTGTGGGTGTGGGTGTGGGTGTGGGTGAAGGCTTTTATCCATTTCCAGTACGGCGACATCCACACACCCACACCCACACCCACACCCACACCCACGCACACCCACACCCTAGTTTTTTATCAGCTGATTCATTAATGCAATTAGACTAGTCAAGAATATGTTGATTTGGTAATAAATCATTTCAGTTATTTCTTTGTTTAGTCTGTAATAAAGATAAAATTCTTCTCGATTATTAAAAAAAACGTGGTAATTATATACCTATACGAGAATATCTTCAACAACATTTAACAGATAAGGTTTAAATGATTATACACATAATTGTCGTATTAAAATTTGTCGACATTAAATTGCATGAGATTCGAATACTTGGATATCAATCATATACTGTAAATGATGAATTATCCACTTCATATTTTTTTGTGGATTAAAAAAATTAAATTTGTTAAAACCAGTATCATTTGAAAAGAATAATATTGATCATTTAAATATATAAATTATACTAAGACATACATCGAATCTTCTCAATTATATCGACTTAATAAAGATTTATACAAGTATCTTATGATAAAGAAAAAAAAACAAATAAAATAATTGAGATTACCTAATATATTCTATAGTTGTAATAGTTGAATTTCCATACTAATTATAACATATACGAGATGGCGATGGAGTTCCATAGACAATTTGTAATTTTTTTTTTAATTCTTTTCCTTTCGAAAACTTCAATCTTGAAAGTGAAATGAGTGTAATTTCTGAACAATTGACATTAATTAACATGAAAATAAAATTCAATGATCATAACTCTAATGCAATATATTTTACCTATCTGAGATTTTTGAATTTTTAGATACTTATAATAATAAATGACTAAAAGATTTCGTTGTGGTCGTTTGACACTAACCAAAGATGGTACAATACGAAAACTTGAACTTGAAAATGGTGATGGTACTCGTTTTTGTACTTGGAATAATAACGATATGGATTTTGATACTGTTCATTGTCGTCTTCTCAACATTTTCAACTTGAGTACAATAATAAGAATAATTCTAAATTATTTCATATCTTGTTTTTTCTTCATTATAGACGATTGTAAATATAAAACATCATTATATAATTTTTCAGTATCGTTCACTACATGTGAATAAATATGAAAATTTTTCTCAATATATTAACACATATGAACTGAATGCTAATAGTACAGTAATTTATCTATGCACTCATGAAGGTTTGATTCTTTTCTTCAATTTTCATATAGTCTTATCTATTCCTTGTTTTGAAGAAAATGATGATGAACTATAAATAATAAAGACGAAAACAAAAGACAAAGTCATAATGAAGACATCAACAACACAACAAAAGTAAACAGAATTTTGAAAGATATCTTTTTTCAAGTAATTTATTTTATTAAAGCATTAACATCAATTAAAAATCAATGGCTCGTAAACAATTTACAAATTTCTAGTCAACAATCATTAGATCAGTATGAGATTTATTTTGTTTGTAAATAAAGACTAAAAAAACAAAAATTTTTTCTAGATCTCCATTGAGTAATCAATTGATAATAGATTATCTATATGATAAAGTTTTATATTTAGAATATTGATTTCGAAATTCAAGCAATAATCTAATAAAAAATTTTCGTTAATTTGATTAATCAAAATAGTTTTGATGAAATCTTAATTGAATTATTTCAATATATATATGTATTATTCATGATTATATTTGTTCAACAATTGAACCATTAAAAGAAAAACTAAAACAAACAAATGAAGTCACTTAGTTAATACATCAATCTAGAATTGAATTACATTCGAATAGTTTTAATAATATTAATGATGTATGTCAATCAACAAAAACATTACTTAAGTTAAACAAGTTAATGATAAAAAAACAAAATTGAACAGTACGATAAACTTTATTAAACTATCATTAATAAATTTTTACTGATAAAGATTTATTAGAAGAGAACAAAACTTCAAAAATTTCTTTTGATCATCAGTACAAAGTCGAAGTTATAAAAGAGAAAGAATATTCTTTCACGGGGGGGTGGATGGGGGGGGGGGGCGGGGGGCGTGGGGCGTAACGCCCCCCTGCTTCCGAAAATTAGTAGGAAAAAAAGGGATTTACGCCCCCCTCTCCTGCTCTGGTACCTGAGTTACATCCCTGTTCTTTCAAGTAGATATCAAACATCCAGTAGCAAGACGAGGGAGACAGAGAGAGCTCAGCCTCCCATGACCCAAATTCGATTTTTATTAATTGTTCGAGATGAAAATAATTTATCCATCAACTAAATAAAAGAATAAATTTTTTCATTATATCGAATTTTGATTCTTACAATATTATTATATTTCAAAAATAATTTGTCTAATTTTTTTTTTGTGTTAGAGTCTTCACAAACAATGGTTAGAAAATATTGAAAAAAAACAAATAACAAGAAATTGAATACATGTTCATCGATTCATTCGAATATTAAATTAATATTTTCTTATTTACATAATTCATCATTATTATCTTAAGATCATCTTGAAATAAAAATACAGAATATTCGATAAAACAATCCCAAATATCATCAACGTCTGTTTATCAAAATATTACCATCAGTAGATTTATTTCAACCAGTATCTTCATTACAAGAATTGATCAATGAAGAAACGAAAGAAAAATCTGATTTATTTCAAGTTGTACATCAAATATAAATGTAGAATTATTTTGTCTGCTTTTTTTTAATTTAATTTAGGTTTTGAACTGCTTAAATCATTTATTAAATTTATTATATCGTCAACATCATATTAAAATTTCGTGAATTAGTTCTATCAACGATTGATGATATAGAATCTATCCGATCAACTATAAATTTACATGATGAATATTCATTATGCTATGCGAAACGAAAAATTTCATCAATAAGAAATCAAATTAATAAGACATTTGATGAACAAGATATTAATAATTCTAAATTTGAATTAGATCGACAAATTTATATATTATATAAGAAGACATTAAAAACAATAGAACTTTTATTAATATCTCTTAATCATTATCAAATGTAACTTGATCAAAACAATCGAAAAAGAATATTCAAATTGGTCTTCATCAATCGAGAACAATTTGATAGTAGACAATCAAATAAATAAAAATCATTAAATCTTTATGATGATGATTAAAATTTCTTTGTATCATTTTCATTAATAAAAGATGAAAACATTTTGAAAAAATGTTCAAAAAAGAACTTAAATATATATATATATATCTAGTAAATCTAAATAGATTCAGATATTGTTTTGTTTCTAGTCAATATGGATTATTTCTTATTTTTATTTCGATAGTTACATAAAAATAAACTTGAAAAAAAAAACAAAAATAATGATAAAAACTTTCTTGTATTCAATAATAATTGATCTTTATCAATAAATTTCAATAGGTTTCTGTTTATAATAGATATGAAACAAAATGTCACTGTAAACATTGAAATTTTACCACTGTCATCACTCGTACAGTTAGATTTCATAGGATCTAAAATTTTTGGACTCTAATTCGGACGACAGAAAAATTTCAGACCCACATTTGATAAACTTTACTTACAAGTGCCTATTGAACTACTGAGTCATATTACTGTTTTGTTTAGTTTTAGTTATTGACAAAAATAATAAACAGAATGTATTATTGTATATTAACAGAAAAATATTTAAAATTCTGACTAAGATTTTCTATTTTATGCTATTTGAAATACGATAAAATTCTCCTGCTTTTTCTTACAACGATATAGATTCTTCTCAAGTAAAATATAAATTCAAAATAATTGATAAGAATAGTGAATTCAAAGATTTTTTTTATTTTCTCATTCTTGGTATCTTGAAATTTTTTTATAACAAAATTTTTAAGCTTTTCTACAGAATTTGAACAGTAAAAGCCGCCATGGTTGAGTGGTTACGCTGTTCGACACGCACCCACAAGGTACTGTGTTCAAACCTCAGTATCATCTTCCATGGAATGACCCTGGACAAGTCACTAACGGCTAAGTTGTCTAAAAATGACTCATTCCACATGAGTCATCCGTACTGATTACATCTTTAGTCAGTATGTTGGACGGAAGAGGGTGCAGATACCGCCGTCTGTAAAAAGAAAAGACGATAGAACCCGGCTGCATGTGGAGATTAATAATAATAACCGCGGCCGGCCCCAACGGGCGATAAGCCTATGGGCCGTTATTATTATTATTATTATGAACAGTAAAAATAAAAACAATGTGTTATAAGTGAGTTTAAACTTTTTTGACAACAAATACTGATCTAATCGATTAAAAACAAAAAAACCATGTTGATAATATTACTGTATTCTTATGTCTTAAAATCATCAACTTTTCACAGAAAGTTTTTATCAAATTTTTGTTTTAGAAAAAATCAATGCTTGAATAACAATTTCTGATTAATTCTAATAAATACGAACTATTATAAAACTCACTCTGATCTACAGACTTTCTAAGAATTTACTAGATTCCATCAGACTATGGAACGATAGTTAATGATTTAGAAAAATTCGAGAAAATTAATCAAAGTCATCAGAAACAGAAAATTCGTAAATGTAAAACATGCTAAAGAAAAATTCATTAATACTTGTCGATATTATTCTTTTCTATATTAAACTATTTCAAAAAAAAAAGGTATTCTTGCTACTCAGTATTTAGAGAAGGTGTAGTCGAAAAAACCTCAAGAAATATAATAGATGCCAAAACCTATGCTACAGAATCTATAATTCCCATATCGTTTTCAACGATCTATACACGACGAAAATATAACAATAAACGACATTCGTAATGACTAGTATTTCAGCTGTCAGCTTTTTACCTTTCCATACTGCTTTTACACCGAATTAAAATGTTTGAAAAATATCATTAGATAATCTTTGACGATCTATAATAAATAAAACTTGATGATCTTATTTTATCATTACTAAGTGGATTACACTACAATACTTTTCTAAAACTCTATATCAATTAATAAATTTTGATTGAGATCTATCCGTCAAAAATGTCTTTCTATTAAGTTACTCGATGATCAATATGATTCCAATTATCAAGTTATCGAGAAAGATTACACATTTTCGCGTGTTACTCATTTATCGTCTGTTTTCATATGTGAATACAATAGTTAAGAGAACCTTGTTTTTTTTGTGTTCTACATACTCTATGTAAAATCTATTTAAAGTTCTAACTCTTTACTTGATCGTTCCCATATTGAAATAACATCTTGTATACGTTTCAAAATAGCTCCACAATAATTTTCTTATTCAAAAAAAAAAGTATTCTCCTTGAACTCCATATATTTGTATATGACAATTAATTTATTTTAAAGAATTTTTCATTGTACTATGTCACATAAATCCTATGTATGAGACAAAACGTTTCATAATAACAGGAAAAATACGTTGAATTCTTCATGGAACCTAATAGAAGTAGCTGAATTAAGCCGTATACGACAAAAAAGAAACGATATAAATACGATCCTAATATTAATCATCGTTTTTTTTTGACAGAAACTGCCTTGAACGGCGTTGTTTACGTTCTTGGTTAGAAACATTCGGTAATCTAAGATGATAGATTACGATCAGAAATAAATCATGAACAGTAGTTATGGAGATTTTGCGTTTTCACTAGAAGTTGTGCTGTTTTTGACGATTGAAATGTTCGTCATGAGAAAATTTATGTATTTAGTCAATTTTACAGTAGCAAAGATGACAGACTTAAACAGGACTTAGTCAATGTAATCAATATTGGAATATGTGTTGCCGTTGTAGGAGACAAAAATAAAACACTTTCTAATGAAATTAAAGAAAGAATGTCGATCCGGTTTTGAAAGAAAATGAGAACTTTCATGATTAGAAAAAGAAAATAATATCATATATAGGAATAGTTGTTGATTTTGTTGAATAAAACAGATATTGTTTATCTTTTGATTTAATCAAAGATTTATTTTAAAGACAGAGTTGCGAACATGAATAAGTAATAAAAAACAAAAAAAAACTTATATCAATGATTTATTAGTATGTGCTTTTATTTGCAGGATCAAAGATAAAATATCATTAGAATTTAATGAAGTCTGATAAAATCTTTAATATATGTTAAGAAATTACATTATTTTAACTATTGACTGATTGTAATTTGATTCTATATGACAAATAACAAATAAGATGTATTGGTTTGTTCAATCATATAAATAAATATAAGAAACAGTTTTATTCTTTTTAAATTTAATAATACAAATTCTTCAAACATATGAAACATTTCATATAAAGAGAATTTTTTAAGTTATGCAAACGATATTGAATGAATAGCGAATTATTCAACGTATTTTTAAAGAGACTTTCCATCTTTTGACATAACACTTTAAACTTTTATCTTAAATTGATCATGTTAATCCTAAACAACGATAAATCATTGTCACTAATACAATGTTCGCTTGCCGATTGATAGAATTCAATTGTTTTAAGATAGGTCACAAACGAAAGTCAATGTCAATCGAGTGTCAGCTAATACAAAATAAATAATTAATCAAAAAAAAAAGAAAAACTGTAATTGAAAAAAACCAATTTAGATGAATCAGTGCCAATTATTGGAAATAGTGTATAATTGTTTAAAAAAAAATCACAACTACAAATAATTATTAGTGAAAAAAATAAATGTAGAAATTGTTATAAGGTCAGATTCAGTTCTTCAATTACAAAATATCAGCTAGAAATTGAGTAATATAATAGTCAATTCAACTAAATATATTTTTATGCTTGAAATTCATCAATAATAATAACGGAAGTATTCTAAATACAGCAGTAGTTACTATTTCTTCTCTCACTTCATTTAAGATGAAAATAATAAAATTGACTGCATTGAATAAAGTAAAGATTTCAGTTCAATGATAGAAATACCAACAATCATCAATTTAAATCACATGTTTTCTTGAATTATTGAAAATATAGAACAGATATTGTGTTGAGTTTCTTAGAAAATGATGCTTATCATCTTTTTTACTGTGTTGTAGCATACACTAAAAGTTTGATATTTTGACAAATAAATAGCTATAGCTGAACTCTATGAATTTGATATTTAATAATTCTTATCATTTTCTGTATTGATTCTTCCATTTATATAGTTAGTCAATAGTAAAATATTAGGCAATAATATATATTTATATACGAATGGTCTTGACTTTTCATGACGATTTCTTTTTAAAAACAAAATATCCTTACTTGAAGTACAAATATCAAAATGAGAATATATTCATTATATTTAAAATGCTCTATTTATGAGGCAACAAATTATATGTAGTGAAATACTATTCCTAAATTTATCAATAGAAAATATTTAACATAGTTATTTATTATTTGTTTGCTTAGATTAGATTTATTAATGAAAAAGAAAAAAAGAATGAAAGTGATAAATAACAAATCATTAATAAAGTTTTTTTTCTTTCTTTTAATTCTATAAATTATTTAATCGTAGACAGGTAATTTGGTTTGATAGTTCAATTTGGGTCCTTTAAAGTTATTCTTTTGAGCAACGCGATTTAAAGCAAATATACATTGCTTAAGAAGATCAATAAAATTATTTTAATTAAATAATCTTTATTATTAACAAAACAAAAAAATACGTACCGTTACTTGTGGAATATTTTGTTTGTCGAAACAATCAACAGCTTGAAATAATTCACTTGGATTGACACCATAAGCACGTGCAGCTTCTTGAAAAAGGCCAATATTTTCACGTAATTTAATTGAAGGTCCTTGTGTATGAATCTTGGGTACAGAACCAGGTTTGAGTTTATTCATTAGTCTTAAATAAAAATTAAATTATAAGAAGATATTTATAATATAATCTTACTTGCATAAAATGATTCCATCGTGAAGAGCTTCTGCATAATTGTCTGATGAAAATCGTTCACCAGTTACAGATTCGACCCATTCTCTTGCTGCTTTTTCTTGTTCAGGATCTTGTTTCCAGTACATCTAAATAAAATAATAATAATAATTAAAGATTAACTGTTCAATCATTACAATATATATTATTCATACTTTGCTTTGAATATCTTGATCTAATGCCATCTTATTTTTTCAATTGTATTGATCAGGAAAAAGAATGTTAACTAACCACAGAACAAGCCTAAATATATGCTACCAGTGTATCGTACCACCCTCTTTGTACGATTTCTCTCTATAATAGTGGGTGTTTTTCTTGTCATTTCTCATCTCACTGGAATAGGAAAACATAGACCGTAGGCAATTCCTATAATTAGATTCCCAAAAAAAGAAACATATTCTATGTCAAAAAAGAACTATAGCCAATATGTAAAAAAAAACAACAGCTATTTCTAGCCAATTCTGCTTATAGAAGCCTAAATAAGAAAAAGAATAAAATACGACGTGACAACACCCTCTTCAGACGATAATAACTAAATTAGTAATATGATGTTTATATTCATTATTTTAGAATTCCAGAAATTTCTTTTATTACATATCAATGATATTTTGTTTTGGATCGATCATAAAAATATTCTTTTCAAATTTTGATATGATCATATTCAAAGTAATGATAACAATATATCTCATCATTTCATTTCATATGAATCGATTTAAAGATTCTCTCAAATATACTCTGTCTCTCTTTTTCTATAATCTTGATATTTTAAATATAATAATAAATAACAATCGTTTTGACCGTTGTCATCGTATTCAACCGTCGCTAATTCTCTTTATAACATAGTAAACTACTAAAAAAGAAAAGCTATTTTATCTTATTTCAAGCAAGAGAATATATAACAAGTTTTATTAAAGTTGTCTGTCAGACAAGACATACACGTGTGTATACACAAAGTCAAATGATATGCTTTTCGCTTCTTCTTTCCCTTTCTTGTAATGGCATCGAAATAGAACCATGTTCAGTTGGCTTACATTAAACGAATACAAACATATAAAGAGACATAGACAGACTACGACATCAAGTATTTTATCTTGAGAAAGAAGAAAATATAAAGAACAGAGCAAACAAAAACAAGTTTCTTACATAGGTAAGCATCTGTCTACGGTACGTTATTTAGTTGTAAGCAAGGTAGGAAAAGAAACTTTATAAAAGATGTAAGACAATATGAACTCTTTCTTTCTCGTATTTTGGCTCTTGTGTTATGGCTCAGTAAGAAAAGAACGAAAGAATATATAGGTGTGTATACACATATACATATATATATTTATTTGAGAAGAGAGAGAGTTCGAATCAGCCTTTATTATCCTTTTGAGAACAAGAGCATTCACATACACATACACACACACCTAATATAACATGATAGAGAATGGCTTGGTGCTTTAATATTGCCTATTTTTTCTGTACTTTATGTGCATTCATTGGATTGACGAGTCTTGTTCAACTTTGTTTGGGTATCTACATCACTTTCATTCAAATTGATATAGTTATAATCAATCGTCTTATCAAAATTGACAAAGTTAATTCATGTCTGGGATATATTCTTCTTGTATTTATTGGCTTAGGTTTTACTTCATTAATATTAGTGTCACGTATTGAAGGAAATACGTAAATGCCCAGTTTATTATGAAAAGAAAAAGAATATATACCCCTGGAAAGCAAAAGTTAGCCACTTTATTTTGGGTATATCTTTACTATGAGAGCATATTTTCAAAAGAAGAATACTATATTCGAAAAGCGCGTGAAATCTTCTACCATCCTATACATTTGGATTTTTGTTATCGCTTTTGAATGATCAACATAAATTGAATATAATAAAGATGCTCTAACTTGCAGATTCCCAAAAACATGATTTTGTTACTGTGATCAAATTAAATTTTTTTAGATTTTTCGTTATCGTAGAATGTTTATTTTGACAGAGCAATTGTATATTCTGATAGCGCTTGAAATTGTTTATCTTTCTATATATTTGTTTACTCTCTTACATTTATCTATTATAAAAATAATATAAGAAAAATGAAGTCATCTCAATTGACAATTTCGAAAAAATCCACAAGTTTTTTCACTACTTTTTGGAATTTTTTCTATCTAATTTTGGATTGATCAATCAAGATCTTTAAATATTATTCGATTTCTTCTTCAACATATAGATATAGGATAAAACAAAAAATATATAGGATGATTGAGAATTTGATGCTCTATCAGAATGCATAAGCACTTTTATAAAAAATAATTTTCTTTACACTTATAGTTTGAAAAAATATATCTTACACAAGATTTTTCGAAATTGTCAATTGAGATGACTTCGTTTTTCTTATATTATTTTTATAATAGATAAATGTAAGAGAGTAAACAAATATATAGAAAGATAAACAATTTCAAGCGCTATCAGAATATACAATTGCTCTGTCAAAATAAACATTCTACGATAACGAAAAATCTAAAAAAATTTAATTTGATCACAGTAACAAAATCATGTTTTTGGGAATCTGCAAGTTAGAGCATCTTTATTATATTCAATTTATGTTGATCATTCAAAAGCGATAACAAAAATCCAAATGTATAGGATGGTAGAAGATTTCACGCGCTTTTCGAATATAGTATTCTTCTTTTGAAAATATGCTCTCATAGTAAAGATATACCGAAAATAAAGTGGGTGTAGGTGTGGGTGGATGTGAGTCCTATCTTCCATTCACATTTACACGCACATCCATACCCAAAACGTCGAATAAACACTGAATCAACTCATAAGGATGAAAATTTAATATGACTAGCATCAAACGAAAAAACAGTGCTAAATATAGTGATTTATGAAAAAAAGATGATTTAATCATTTTCATCTGGTGTCATCCCATAAACCAATATGATCAAAGGTTATCGCACTGACAGATGTCAAGCGTCTCATAGTACATACAACATATGCTAAAATCCATCACAGAAGAGTATTTCAACAGCAATAATAGTTTATTAGACATCCATATCATCGACAGTGATATGAAACTGACGATTGATTGCCGATCTCAGAGTGAAGAGAAGGCATTTACCCTCACCCTCACCCTACAATGTATGCATATAGAAGAATACAAGGCTTTTGTTTTACATACATATAGTAATGCATCGCCAAGTTGGATGCAAAAATGTCAAAGACAAATGTTTCGATTGTTGTTGATTTTTAATCATCGTAAATAAGATTGTAGAGATGAAAACGAAACTCGCTTAATTGAAATTAACATTTTCAGTTCGATGTTTTATGTCCTTGTGATGGAGTGCATGCATACATAAGAGAAAGAGTATTTTTTTCTCTTACGTTCTTCTTGCTCGTAAGAGTAACGAAAAGTCTTTTTTTCAATTGAAGGTATAATCAACAAATACCATTAAACATTTACAGAGAATAAACAACAACTGACGATTTCATTGATTTCATTAACATGGAACGATATCGAGTGGCAAGAATGATACCTTTACTAAAAGATAATTTTAGTGACAGTATATGGCGGTGCATTTCTAGAAATACATCTAGATGAGCGATTTAATCTCAACGAAGATGTTCAATTATTTTATGCATCAAGAGATAACAATGGTAGCATATATATGGTTGTAACAAAGAGATTATTTCATGTTCATGATCAATGTATCGATTTTTTTTCTTCGTACATATGGCGAAAAATTTTTCTCACACTCACTGGTAAATTTAGCTTAATATTACCATTAATTCATGATCTACCAGAAATTGTTTATATCTACTTAGGCCATACCAAAAGTAGTGAGAGTGACACTTTAATACCGTACAATATACACTTAAAAAAACTTTCTTTCTATATAGTCTGATAGAGAAAAAAAAGCTATCTTTTTATGCTACTTGATCATACTTCACTTAATATAATGGTAGTAAGTTTTCGATAAGATTCGTTTCGTTATCATTCGTGCTCGTTGTACTAGATCCTAATGGGTAAGACAGGTTCATTTTTCGTTCCTTGATATATTGCATCAACGATCAAAACATACAGTAAGATGCAGCGTGAAAAGCTCTACAATTCATGTAAGACAACCTATCTCATAGTTGCACTTTTTGTTTCCAAAATTGACGAAGTTTTCAGGGAACAGATGTTGGGTATTGCAAAAATTGATCGCACAGAAATTTTATCTTTTTGCAAACAAACTCAATAAGTTTTAGTGTGAAGATTGTAGAGCTTATCACGCTGCATCTTGTGGTGTGTTTTATTTTTCTTCTGATAAAGCATTTTCGTGATGAAACGATGAAATAACAAAAAATGGATTCGTTATGTATCAAAAAAGTTATCTTTTTCCCACGCTGTAAACTAGAAAATAAGTTATAGAGTTTACTCAAGGATATTCTAGGAATGCCTATATGAAATCATCAAGGAATTTTCATGTTTCCGAAAATAAGATATTTCAAACATTAAGAATAAGAAATTTGATTTTCTAATTAGAAAATCAAAAATCAATTCATATGGACATTCCTGGAATTTCGGATTCGATGTATCAATTCGAGTATTTTTTAAAAACTTGAAAATCGAATTTTATTTTCACATATGAACGTAAAATTCGTATGATAATATAAAAAATATAGTCCTCCGTTCTAATTTGGATCACTGTTCAAAAAAATCGATTTATCTCAGCCATTACTCAACTATTTTAGATCGAACAAAAAAGATTTTTTCACCAGCAAAGAGCCCAAAGTGTTTTCTGCAAGTTCATATAAAAATCTAAAAAAATGGTAAGAGTCCTGGGAAAATGATCCGAATTAAAACAGTTGTTCTAATTCGGATCAACAAGCAAAATGTGCTGTGATAATTCGGATCACTCCAACAGAAATCAATAGAAAATCGATAAACTTAACTTTCCCATCTTCTTATTAACTAATAATAAATTAAAATTAAATAAAAAATATACCATTCGATAGCCCAAAGTCTTTTCTGTGGGACCTGGAAAAATCTTGCCAAATTGTTGAATCATTGAAATGCAATTCTCACAACACTGAGACCTACTAGAGAGAAGTTTTTTTTTTTATTTTTCATTTGTTGTAATTCGGATCACTCAAGCAAAATGGGGTGTTGTAATTCGGATCACTCCAGCAATTTTGGCTGAGAAGAAGTTTGAAAACCTC